TTGTATGTCTTTATGTAGATGAATATGCTCATCATTGGTAGTAATAATGACATGATTAAACTACCAAAAAAATGTTGAATAAACATTTTGGACGATGAAGGACATGGGCATTGCTGATGTAATACTTGGTATGAAAATTACCAAAACATCAGAAAGATATTGCTTTGTCACAATCTCATTACATTGAGAAAATACTTGACAAATTCAGCAAAGATGATGATCATCTAGCTAGAACACCTGTAGATGTTATTTGTATCTTTCTAAAATGTACATGAAAGTATTTCTCAATTAGAGTATGCCCAAATTATTGGAAGCTTAATGTACTTGATGACTGCACTCGCCAGATATAGCTTATGCCTTAAGAATTAAGTAGATATACGAGTAATCCGGGAGTAGAACACCTGGAAAGCAATTATAAGGGTTCTAAGAATCTCCTGATTTACTTGTAACATTGGGCTCGAATTATACTAGAATATCAGCAGTACTTGAAGGATACTGTGATCAAATTGGATATCGGATACAAGAGACTCGAAGTCCACCAGTGGTATGTCTTTACTCTCTGTGGGGCGGCTGTACTTTGGAAATCTCCAAACAGACTTGTATTGCTAGGTCTACTATGGAATCTGAATTCATAGCTTTAGACAAAGCTGGGGAAGAGGCAGAATGGCTTCGCCACTTCCTTGAAGATATTCCAATTTGGCCAAAACCGGTGCCTGCTATATGAATACATTGCGATAGTCAATCAGCAATAGGTAGAGCACAGAGTCATATGTATAACGGTAAGTCTCGACACATTCGTCGTCGACATAATACCGTAAGACAACTACTCTCTAATGGAATTATTTCCATAGAATATAGTTAAGTCTAAAGACAACATAGCGGATCCACTAACCAAAGGGTTAGCAAGAGAGTTAGTTGAAAATTCATCGAGGGAATGGGACTTAAGCCTATTAAATAAGAGTTACCACAACGGCAACCCAACCTAGTTGACTGAGATCCCAAGATCTAGGTTCAAAGGGACAACCGAGTTGTGATTGACTCAGAAGGATCACTGTGGAGTCCAACTCCTACCATTTCTATGATGAAATAAGTGATGTCTGCAGCGATTTAGGTTAAGATATACTTTTAATGATTCTTATATCTAGGTAAACCTAGTGGAGTATGGCAGGATATTTTCATAAGAATCACCTATGTGAGTGTGAACTGGGCCGTTCTATAAGATTTGTGAAGGGCTACAAGTCTTTAGAGCACTCATGATAGACCAGGTTGTTCAGGGTCAAAATGAACACAATAGTGAGAACTAAACTGTGTCTGGGAATATACTGTGTGAGTTCTATTGTCTTGGTTTACACAAACGGCTGAACAGTTCAAGACATCATGTTCACTGGTTAGCTAGTAAATCCGATAGTGTCTCACAAGGGAAGGTTCAAAGCCAAAAGCTACCTATCTTTGCAGAATATTTTTCATTTCTCTGTACTCTCTGTAATTAGATCATGTTGTTGCATTTTCTCTCCATCAAATTCATTCATGTGGGGGATTGTTGGAAAATGGTTTATATAGGACTAATTTTGAGCCCATTTTGGGTGGGCCCCAAACGTTTTTGGGGTGGGTCCGAAGAGGTGACGTGTTCCTTACCGCGTGGCAAGTCACACGGTGAAGACGGAACGTCAAAACCATTATGAGTGAATGGGAAGTTGACGTCGTTTTCGGATTTAACTTTAATTTTTTAGATAAAATTCATTTGAATTTTTACAATAAAAATTATTGTGGGAATTTAATTTAATTCTAAATTCAAATTTTGGATTCCTAAGTGGTTTCCTAAAAATTTGTAATTGTGGAAATTTAATTTAATTCTAAATTCAAATTTTAGTTTCCTAAAGTTTGTGCCTCTTCATTTATTTATTTATTTAACTATTTCAATAGTTTAATATATATATATATTTAATTAGTTTAATATATATATATATATATATATTTGAAATAGTGTAAATAATAAATTACCTACAGATTTGAAACATTCTCTAACGGAACACTTTTTTAGATGTTTGAATTTGAGTTCAAACGGTCAACTTTATTTGAATTGAAAAAATGCACCTTTTCACTTCCTTAAATTGATACTTGTTCGGAAATGTTTTGCTTCCTATAAATACCATCAGTTCTAGCAGTTTTGATATCTAATTTTCAAATCCGAAAAATTCAGTCTAAACTTCGTCTCTTTGCTGTCCATTTTTTTGTGTGTATTATTCTTCATTTTAGTTTAGAATAAATATTCAGAGAGTTAGAACACAGGTTTGGTTCACCGAGCAAATTGTTTGGAGTACTACTACAATTTGTGAAGATCATTGTATCCTGGGAGATAGACGCCACTCAACCGTAAGTACCTTAGCGGGGCGAATCTATCTTAAGGACAGAGTGTCACACACTCGACTTGGTCTTAATTTTAATTTGATTCGATAAATAAATTCGGTACGTTATTTATTTATTTTGTTTGATTTATTTCAAGTTATATTATCTACACAGAAGATTGTTCCAACAGTCCCAACATGTTTTGGCTTTCCTGAAGCCAATGAAGATATGATATGGTTAAGTCATTGGAGCATTGGGAATCTATTGGAAGGTGGCAATGAAGTAAATGTTTCAGTGACTGAGGACTCCGTTAGAGTTAAAAGAGTTTGGAGATCATGTTGTGTATGATCAAGAACAAAAACAGGATACCCAAGATAAGGCCTATCCTACTTGTCCAGAGTTAGCATATCTAGTGAGGTGTGGAATATACTTCCTCAGCAATCAAGTACTCTCAAAAGATGATTTTGTAGTTCCAATATCCAACTCGGGTTGGCAAAAATACTTCAAGCCTCCACAGAAACTACAGGTATGTGGCTTGTAGTTTTAGATTCTGAAATCTACAGTCAAACCAAAAGGAAGAAAATAAAAATGATTTTTGATCTTTGATGAATTTTGCTGATTTGTATGATTTACAGATGATGATGAACAAAAGCATCATGAGAGTGACCTGATGGGCAGAGCAGCAGGAAGGGGCAGAAACTGCAGTGATGGCAGCCGGATCATAGGCCATAAAGCAGTTCTTATTACTACAAGAATCAAGTAAATAACTCGCGGTTTTACTTATCTTGCTGCCACTTAGCAACATTTTTGTAGTGAACAAATATTTTTTAGACTAAAGTCTTACTTACGCCACCATCATTGTCACCCCACCACAACCACTGCAGCCGCCACCACTCACCCAGTAGTGGCTCGACCATTAGGCAACTTAGGTACTCACCTAAGGCCTTTCATAAAAAGAGAGCCTCATTTTTTTTTAGGAAAAATTACACAAACAAATGAGTGGGAAGAAATTCCAAATTCCAAATCAATGAAAGGACCTAAAATAATAACAAAGACATGGTTTCTGGGACATTTTTGCCCCTCTACTTCATCTTCTCAATCTTACACTTCCAAAATCTCTTCCATGCCTCTACAACCACCCTCCACTGCCAGCAGCACCATCGACAACTACCACCCTCCACTGCCGGCATCGCCATCAACGACGTCAACCACCACCATCAGAAGAGAGAAAAAAAAACGTAGGCCCATCACTCCCCCTCCCCTGGACTCCCAGCCCCTCTGGGAAGCGAATGAAATCCAACTTCGGGGGTTCCCAGAAGCCTTGGAGAAAACCCAGCCCTCTCTGCTCTCATCAGATTGGCAAACTCTCTGGTCTGATTCATCTACTTCACTCAACGCTCTCTCCATTCATACACTCGTAAAATTATGACCCTATTACAGTTTTCTTTGTTTGATTCCATGTTTTGTATGTGGGTCTTGATAAAAAAAAAAAATTTAGTGTGTTATTTTGATAAGGGTTTTGCTTTAATTTTCTTTAAAAAAAAATAAAAAAAATTAGTTAGTATTTGTTTTGATTTACTTTTTAAAATTAGTTTGTTATTTTGATTAGAATTTCTAGTCGTTTTCTGATATGGGTTTGTAAAAATATGCTGCTTTTTTATTTTTTATTTTTTAATTTAAAAATATAGATTTAACAGACAAGGCCAGATTTTTGGGTGAATTTTTTTTTTTTTTTTTGGGCGAATCAAACAAGGCCACAGATGCAGCAGACCATTGGATGCAGCAAACTTAAGGTTTGATTTTGCTTCAACAATTTCTACAATTTACTCTTCCGGACTTGAATTTTGAAGATTTTCCCATTGAATCATGTGCATACTATAGTTGCAGACATCATGTTTGGCATAGCTTTTGAATTCAGTTCTCAGAATTTTTTCTGAAAACTGCAAATATTTTCAGGGTCATTTGAATATTCCTGATTGGGAAAAAAAGGAACAGAAAAACTATATTTTGAAAGTTGGGGGGGAAGGTTGAGATTCTTTGGTATGGGATTGTTCTAGGTCTAAGGGGATTTTTTCTGTGTCATCGTATTATGGCGCGCTTGCTCAAGATGGTGCTGTGATGTTTCCTTAAAAGTGTGTCTGGGTGTCGGGCATGCCTCCCAAGGTTCCTTTTTTCATTTGGACAGCAATCTTGGGGCGTATTTTGACTATTGATAACTTAGTTCGTCGTGGACATATTTTGGTTAATTGGTGTTATCTGTGTTATGGGATGCAGAGTCGGTAGATTATTTGCTCATTCATTGTCCTGTTTCTTATCGACTTTGGATGCTTGTTGTTGCGACTTTCAATTTGGCCTAGGTGCAACCGGGTTCTGTGCAGTCAGTTTTGCAGAGTGGGTGGGGGGGCAGGTTGGGAGGAGGCGTCGAAAGGCTTGGATGCTTGTTTCCCAATGCTTAATGTGGTTGATTTGGTTGGAGCTTAAGGGGTGTCTCATTCGAATCTTTAGTTAGATAGGCGACTTCTTATAGTTGGGTTATGGGCTCGGTAGATCTAGATGTTTTGGTTTTTGTAGATTTTGTGAAAAATTTGGTTTGCTAGTTTTTTTTTAACCTTTGTGGCTGTCTTTTTTGTTTTCTTTGCATCATCTTGATGCTTTTTTAATAAAGTCTGGTTATTTATCCAAAAAAAAAAAAAAAAAAATATTTTGAAATTCGTTTATTATTGTAAAATTATGGGGACAATTGACATCAGTTGGACGCCAAGCTGATGACCAAATTTTATTGTAATAGTTCCTGCTGGGAGCCTTGATGTGTGTTTTTTTGGTTTTATCTGAGTTGTTTGATCTAAGTTGGTGTTCATTAATAGGTTATTTTGATATATATTAGGGTACTGAATTGATTTGCCTAAAAAAGTTTAGTGTTTTGTTTAGATTTTCCTAAAAAATTAGTAGTTGTGTTGTGATTGAGAGCTTTGTTTTACAATAATAAGACTTTAGTACTTGAAATAGGAGTAGAAAAAGTGGTGTGATTTGTTAGGCACTTGTTTACTTGTTCTTCAGTTTAATATTGCATTTCTGTAACAATTTGCTAGATGCTCTTGTTGAAGGTTGTTGTTGTTGTTTTTTTTTTTTTTTTCAATTATTATAAATTAGTTGGTGGATTGTGCTGTTTGTTTGGACGACCTCAAGGTTTGTGATAAGTATAGGTTACTGCTTCTGCACAGTTTCCAAGCCCAGTGTGTGGACATAAGACCTTTGCAAACACACATTTGTAGAAAGCACCACTCATTTGAGTGATGTTAGAGTTGAAGTGAATTTTTTTTTTATAGTTGGGAGTTGATTTGAGTTTGAAAGCAAGTCCTTAACATGATTCTGCTCAAAAACACAGTAATTTACTGTTAATTGATGATCATATGTGCAGTTGGAATACAAAATATCAAATATTTTTCTTTTCTTACTTTTCTTCTTTATTTATTTATTGTGCTAGACGTCGAATTGAAATTAGTCAGCTTCTTCTGATCAGTGGTAGTTGCTCTAGTTCTTTCCATTTACTATATGAGTAAACATAATTCAGTTTAGATGGTCACAGTCCCATAATTTGGTATGGTTTTTTATTTTGAAAGAGTATAAGCTTGGTGAGCATAAGCTCATGAAGTATATGGATATTGCACAGGGCAATGACCAACTTGATGCATGCGGTTTCTTTGTTTTGTCTCATGTTTGTATGTGCGTCCTGTTTTGAGTAATATTATAACTGTATTTCAAATAACATGCATTACAATTTTTTATGTAATCTTTACTGATATTGTCGTGCATTGCAGGATAACAAGACAGATGCGCAATGTAATTAGTTCAAGTTCCTAGATGAAGATGACGAGAATGTGACCTCTACAATTCGTTCCAATACTCAACCTAATAGAAGATTCCGTGGGATGGAAATTTTCTTTTTATTATTATTTTTACATTTTGTTGCATTTGAAGTATTTGGTATTCCAGATGAAACCTATGACAGCATTTGGTTTTCTTGTTTGTACTTAATGAATGGAAGTTCCGAAATATATATATATATATATATATTTTAAATTTAACAAACTCCTTTTTGGACTTCCTTTTGCGAATTTCATTATGTTTCTGATACTCAATCTCAATTTCTACGTATCAGCAGTGCAAAGCCTTATTTTCCATAGATAACACCCTGTTGAAGTTAACTCAAAATGGCCATGATCACCTGAATAAGCAAACTGTCCCTGATCACATGTTGAAGCACTCTTCACAACCTTATAGAACTCTCTTTTCTTATAAGTTTTATTTTTTGCAACTTCAATCAAACTAATTGAGGCTAATATATTTGAACTTCAAAAGATCAGCTATTTACAAATATCCGTATTTTGTTATATATATATATATATATTAATCTACAACTGATCAATTTGAGTCTGTTTGGGTGTTGATCAATTCAAATTCATATATCTGAACTGAACTCGAAAAAGTTGGTTTTGCCTTTGCAGGTAGTTGAGGAGTTTTTAAATTTTATGAGCTTCTTCTCTGTTAATGTGCTGGGCCGAGCTTCTTGAAAAATGTCCATTCTCTGCCAGGATTTACTCTTACAAGCTGGATGGATTAAGTTATATGCACATGTGCCTTGTTATACTGCAATGCTTCTCAAGTCACGAAATTTACATCACTGAGTTTCAAAATTATTGAAAAGCTGCAACTGATTGGTACTAAAAAAAAATAAAAAAATAAAAAAAATCAAAACTGTTTTTTAGCAATAGAGCCAGAACAAAAACTCAAACTCAAAACTGTGATTATCATTTATCAGGAAAACAATAAATAAATAACTAAAAAGGTTGAAAAGGAATTGCATGTTTGGTTTATGACAAAATGCTAGGAGAAAAGAAAAAGAAATCAACAGATTTTAAACCCTAGGAAACTAAAACCGTGACCATTTGGGAAGTTTGATTTTTAGCAAAAAAAATCATTACAACTTGTCACATAACTTTCTTTACCTTTTACAGTCTTTTAGTAAAAAATGAAAAAATCAACTAAAATAGTCAATTAAAAAACAAGAATTTCTAATTTTTGTAAGTTCAAAACACATTCTTCTAGTTTGATTTAACCTGCAACTAAAAGAAAACTACGTAAAATTACAAAAAAAAAAAAAAAAAGGGCCAAATTTTGTGCAACCTCTGGAAACTAAAATTACCACACAATTGGGTTTGGTGAAACTATTTGCAAGATTCGAGTTAGGATATTCTAAAACACCAAATTTACCTAAACAATATTCAAAATTTCTATGGTATATCCTGATAATCCATATTTTCTAATGGAAAATCAAAATAAACCTTAATTTCAATATTATCAATCAAAACAAAACTCAACTTTTTTTAGGATAATCCAAAACAAAACCCCAACATTTTTTGGGGAAAAAAAAAATCCATAATCACCTCATAATCAAACTCCATTGCAAATAAAATCCTAACCATAATAAGACCAAAAAAAAAAAAAAAAAAAAATTCAGACCCACGTACAAAATATGAAATCAGACAGATAAAAGCGTAATCAACAGGGAGGGGGTAAAGCAGGTGGAGTGGAGTCTAGGGCTCGAATTTTTTTTTTTTATGGTGAATCTAGGCTTCAAATTTGAGAGTGTCAAATATGGAAACAGTGGCTGTTTTTTGCAGTCATTTTCTTTTTTGTTGTAATCATTTTCTGCTTCATCAATATAGTTCATTTTTTTGTTGATTAAAAAAAAAAAAAAGTTCAAATATAGACAAGACCTTATATCGTTATGGACTAAAATGCAAAATTATCTCTATTAAAAGTAAGGCAAAATTACCTAAATACTCCTATAATATATTCTCTCTTCACTAATATATATAATTTCCTATCTTAATCACATATTTAACAAATAGAATAATAGTAAATTGAACACCCTAACTTATTACCATAAAATTACCTTAATTTAATTTTTAACTCAATTTCTTATTTAATAACATTTTAAATCAAACATAAAATTACCATAAATTAACCCATAAGATTAACCTAAACACCTTAATTTATTACCATAAAATTAAATCATAAAATTATCTTAATCTAATTTTTAAGTTTAATAAAATTTTAAAATAAACATACATACATATTGAGAGGGAGATTTATGATTTGGATTGGGCCGTGGTAATGGCCGGACAAATTGTGAGCCGAACACATTTGGGCCGTGGCAGCCTGGGCCCATCCAGAAAGGATTTTTGCTCAGTAATGGCATAGTTGCTGTGGAACCGAGCTACTTGGGCTTGTTGGTGCGGAAGCCGGTCAAGTGAGGGTTCGGCCGAGATGTCCGTTGCCTCACTGTGTTCCACGGTTCGTGTGTTAGCTCGGCAGGAAGGCCGATGGCTAACCAGCATGACTTATCCCGAGCTCGGCTATGCTGGAATGCAACTGAGCTCGGTCGTCATTAAGCTTGGCGAGCGGAGCTGTCATGACCCGAACCCGCCCCTATGGGTTAAGGACATAACCGGCCAGCAATCTTGAGATTACCTACGGCCTTAGACCAAAACAGACATGACTTGTCAGAGTAAAGGGGGCTAAACGGAAGCAATAAATAAAAACTTTGTCCATAGAGCCGTGCTTATATGCACATTAACAGACCATATTCAGTTACGTTAATAACCCACATCAAAAGTACAGTTCCACAAATTCATTACAGACAGGATCATCCAAAACGAGTTAACCTATGACAGACTATTTACAGATATACATAAAGTCCTTGCCGGCAAGACAAAATATAATTACATAGCAAAAAGGCAAGGGTAGGTCTCAAGAGTGAGACGCAAGGCTGACTTCCGCAAAACTCGGATGTTTTCCTAGCAGACTTCAATGGGGCTGGGTTTGGACTTCCCTTGGCTCACCTACAAACACATGAATGAGCGTGAGCGATAGCCCAGTGAATAATATCAAATATGACAGTTACATAACAATGTAGAACAACATGTTCCAAACGGCCTTTGGCCCAATTCACATTTCTACTTAACATGTACATTATATATATACTTATACAAAATTTAGATCAAGTGACTGTAGTTCCAACGTGCTGGCCTTTGGCCCATTCAGGTTTCTGTTCTTGTCAAAACGGCCTCCAGCCCATTCATTTATGTCAAACGGCCTTCGGCCCATCCATTTATGTCAAAACGGCTTTTAGCCCATTCATTTACGTCAAAACGGCCTTCGGCCCACTCATTCATGACAGAACGACCTTCGGTCCATTCATATTCATCTAAACGACCTGCTTTTGCAGAATATACATCAAAACGACCTTCGGTCCATTCATATACATCAAAACGACCTTCGGTCCATTCATATACATCAAAACGACCTTCGGTCCATTCATATACATCAAAACGACCTTCGGTCCACTCATTCTCATCTAAACGACCTTTGGTCCATTCAAATATTCCTGTCAGACTTTTGTCCACAATCCCAATTAACAACCCATAAAGTTTATAAGGGAATAACAATTGGACATTGACAAGCTTCCAAATATTGATATTACTCACAGTGATCGGCTTGTGGATTCGCCCTGGAGCTTGACCCTACACATTCCATGCACACAAAAGGGTCATGAACAATTCAATCCGTCCCTTAATTCACATATTCCTCCTTAGGCTTTATTCTTATCTCATTAACTCATTTATAATGTTTAACACACGCCAAAGAGTGATTACAAGTGAAAGAGAACGGAAAACGAAACACAGAACGCATGAACAAAATTCCAGAAA